CCACCACATCTATCAATCGGTCGCAATCACTGCTCACGACGAACCCTCGCATTCCAATTCTAGCACCTCCGCGAGGTGAGAGAGCTCGGCTTGAAGCGCTCATGTCTGATATCTGGAGCCGAGATATCCTTCCGTTCCCCGGTATGACTGGTAGATCTCGCTCTGAACACTTGGTTCGAAGTTCGGCTAGTACAATGATGCGGAAGCTCAGCGTTGCAAGCATTGCCAGCTCTTTTGCAAAGAGGTCAAACAGCGTTGCTAGCATGGGAAAGCTCGTCCCCGACGAGAATGTAGGAGAGAAGCAAGAAAACGCGCGTCACGGACAGGCCTCCAAGCTCTGCAGAGAGGAGAGTTCGAATGTTGAGCACGGTCTCGACGACGAAGCTGGTGAAACAACCAAGACTCGTTTGCCCAAAATCGACGACGATGTCGAGGTTATAAGCACGGTTAGCGCTCCGGCAACCCCGATGTTGAATCCGGCCAGGATTCTTGTTCATGCAGATCCAGTTGAACAACTGCGGCTGCAACACATCTACTCTGGGGACACGTATACATCGAGACCATCCATTCTGCGCACCGCGTCAGGAAATAACTTGCCGCGAGTGCGTCGAGACCAGATTACCGCCAGAAAATCACCCTGTCCTTCCGAGAAGGGTGTTTACCGGGAGCATCAATCTCGGGCGCCAAAAGGACCCAAGCTATCCCACAAGGCGTCGATGCGCTGGGGAAAGGTTGGCACATTGAACAGAGACGATTTGGTCCAGGGCATCCGAAGCTTCTTTCGATGAAGACCAACCGCAGCTTTTGGCCTTTGGTCCGCGTCAATTGATGAACTATGACAGGTTGACTGAATTGGATGCGAAAGATGGAGGTGCACATCGCTATCTTACGCCGATTGGCTATATTCATTGAAGAACTCTTGAAGAGGGGAAAAGCACCGAGCTCATGTGGAGCTATTCTTAGTTCTGATTGTTTTTGTCGTCGAGTTGACGAGAGTATAATGATACCCCTGCGTTAGATTGTTCATTACCCACCGCAATAAGTTACGCACTCTCAAAGTTACACCAGATGATGTCAGTGATGCCATCGTGAGGCTTGACTCCTGGTAATGCCTCTTTCTGCGGACGTCCGTCTCCATGTTTGGACCTTCTTGGGATAGTGGATGATGAGCTCCCGTTGTCAGCCCCACCATAGCAAGCTGTGCTGGCCAGTGAGGTGACTTACATTGATGTAAGGTACCTCGGGGCACCAAGGGCTGTTCAGTTTGCGCCGCAACGAAGGCCATGGCAAGGTACACAATAAGTGAGGTAGGTACTCCGTACCTTGTGCAAAACGCTGCCTTCCCCATCTGGATCATTCCAGCCGCAAGCTGTCGCAACGTGTAAACACCCCTTTGGCCTACTTTCCTTGGTCTGAGATTAGCGGTGACGTACTACAGTGGTGCGATGCAGGAACGCTCAGAGTTCCCGGTACCTAATGGGCGAGTTTGGCGACGTGCCTGGACCAGCTGGGCGATGCACGGAGCACATAGCTGCCCCGCTCCCTGCCTGGGCAAGCTCCCCAATGGCGGGGCAGTGATGAAAGGCAGTCGCGTGTTCCCGCACCTATGACGTACCTTCCAAATCACGAGCTTCCCAGCTCCCGCCCTCTCCTCCTAGCGTAGCTGGGGGAAGCTTTTCCCCCTCCTCAGCTTTTCCTCATATTAAAAGGCTGCGGCATACCTTGAGCTCCCTTCTGATTTCTCCTCTTCAGATTAATCAACCAAACAAAAACATCTTGAGATACCCGACGACTTTCGTCTTACACGCACATTCCTGTCAATCTACAAGACCTCCATCGAGAGTACATCACTCAATCAATCACTTACCAATACACACTACACAACCACACACCACACACCACCACAACAGTCAAAATGGTTCGCGGCGAGGCTTCCCAGACCAAGGTCCACTTCAAGGGCCAGGAGGACGACTTCATCATCTTCGTTGAGGACCCCGAGCTCTACAAGAAGTGGAAGACCGACAAGTCTGTTCCTCTGGCACACTTCGTTTCCTCATACAAGATCTTCGTCACGCACAAGTAAGTTGCAACATTGCAGTCTTCCTATCTCTCCCTTTCCAATGCCAGTCCTTCAGTTGGCTGTCGATTCGTCCTTGGCTCAATTGGATTTGACTTCTGCTACTGCAATGGCTTGGCCTATGGCGAGCGGCGGAGCGTTTGGACCTCCAATTGTTTGCTTCCAGAAACATGCCACCGACACCTACATGGCCTACCCCGCATGTCCACACGTTACGCACAGCAGCTAACCCAACGAATTAGGCAAGGTGCTCAGGGCCAGTACGATGCCGCTTCCAAGTCCACACTCGAGAACGAGTTTGGTACCAGCGTCGACGATGAGGTGATCAAGCAAATCCTTGAGAAGGGTGACACCCAGAACATCGAGGTAAGTAATACGTTGGACACACCACAAGTGCAACCCACTGACAATGATATCAACAGTTCCCCGACCGCCAGGGTCCCAAGAACGATTCCCAGGGCGGCATGGTTGCCCACTAGAGGTCTTCTAACTCACGCAGTCGCGTGAGGCTAGATGTGAGGGGTGGCATTGTCGCATCAGCGCGGCCAACACCTTACAGAAGGTTGCGGCCCAATGTGAGCCGAACCCGACGATTCCCTGGCGCTCGACGTAGCTGCGGCCAAAGGCGGGCGTTTCTGTTTTGAGGCGTTTCTGTTTGGGGTGGTGTGTGCAGTGATGGAAGCGAGGCATTACGCTCGACGGAGCGTGCCTAACAATGACAATCCGAAAGAAGATGTCTTGAAGGGGAACATTAAGCGCGTCTCTCATCAACCAATTTACATGCAACGGAGGATGATATACAAGGTGTGATAACCTTAAAAAATGTCCTTCGAGCCCGACAAGGGTTCAACATCGACGCCATGGTCAAGCATGGGGTCGATTGCATGGGTCTACTTAGCGAATAGCTGAATATGAGCACATGACTTCTCTCCAACAATTTTGTCCTCATCTACATCTGATGATTGTGATTGATTATGATGAGTGCACACCTAGGGGATGCTTGAGCCATTCCGGTGTAATGTTGAAAGCGGAGAAAATCATTGCGAGTACACGAAATGTCCGAAGATTGGGTGTTAAGTTAGTCATGCCGTCAGACCCGGAGACCGACCGGGTCAACTGGCTATAGAGCAAGCTTTCGCGATACAGTTGACCGACCGGGCGCTTGATAAAAAAAAGCTCATTCCGACGGGTTGGTCAGGCTTACTTCATGTTAATTGAGCCGCCAGGAACGGGCAAGACACCTGGTCTATATTAAGACAGTTTTAATGTATTCGAATATGTGCAAGGCTGTCAAAAAAGTGGAGACCCGAGTCGTTTGGGGGCCAGCGACGGCGGCCCCCCCGTTAGCTTGTCTACCTGCTATTCATGTTGGACCTTGCGTCGTTGGTACGTTGGCTCCTGCTGAGTTGTGAATTTTTCTTCCCCTCTCTCTCTCTCTCTCTCGTGGACTCGTGATGTGGTGCGCGCCCGTTTCTAAAGTGTTTCGGGGAGCCGCTGCGGTGCCTTGGCCCCCCCCCCCCGACCCCTGCGTAGCCGCCCCCTCCTCGCCTGTTGCTGTTGCCTCCACGCGCCTCAAACTCTGAAAGGGGTATTTTTTTCTCTTTTTTTCGTTGGTTGGGGGGGAGGGGAGGAGGGGGGGAGGACGATGTATGTGCTATGTAGGTGTGTGTGGTGTCACTGATTACATACTTTGAGGTCATCTACACACACCTTTTTTCAGGTGAGAAAGAAGGTTCGATGGAAAGCCAAATGACGAAGAAAGAAACCTTGAGGCTCCCGTGAACCATCGGTTCCCTTGGCTGCGAAGGCAAAGTGTAAGTACGAAAGAGAAGACAAGGACAGGCGCCAAGAGCCCATGAGACCATCACGGGTCAACGGCAACTCTTTTTTATCTTTTCAGTTGAATTTTTTGCTGAATTGGTCAGTCCCGAGAGGTAATCTGAGAGGGATGAACCCCATGTCATGGTATGCCATATGTCACCGGATGATAAGCTTGTTTGCCGAGATTGCCGTCACATCGTGTCAGTCGATGATGATGGGGGCGATGACGGGAAGATGGGGCACAACAGGAGTGAGGGCTCATGTCTTGGGACTCATTCTTGGGTCTGGTGATTTTTTTTTTTAATTGGAAATTTCTTGTCTTGATATTAGGTGTAGCATGGGTTGCTTCGGTCTCTATAGACCAAGGCCACGTCTCTTGACAGCGTTTTTTCTTGGGCGGCCGCTATTCCTGGCAGAATCTCTCTCTCCAGCACCCGTTCTCTCTCGCTCTCTTCTCATCCCATCCCCCGAGAACCAGAATCCCCGCATCCCGATATGTTGTTGAGCCGAGCTTCGGGATGATACAAGCCACCCTCCAGAACATGGGAGGTTGCATGCTCCAAAAGCGAGGTGCCAAGGAGCCTCCTGTCTCTGGTCCTGCGGCTGTCCCCAACTGACCCATGCCCCGGTCAACGCGCCACCCACTGTGTGTAAGTCCATGGTAAGCCGATGCGAAACAGGACGAACGACGACCGCATCCACCTACCCACACCACCACCACCACCACCACCACCACGACTGCCACGAGAAAGTATGCCCACGCTGAGATGACTTGAAGAGAAAAAGGCTGAATAAGGTTATACCGTTATCGAGCAGCCATAGTCGAGTGTTGAGGAAGAATCATATAACCCTTTGTCGTCAGGAATAACGCCGATGCTGGATGCCGTGATATCGATTGGGATCGTTATAAACATGAAAGGAAAAAGTAGTAAACAAGTTGTCATGATAGCTCAGGGAAACAATGATGAGGTTTCGTCGATTCTCCCGAGTTTGCTTGGACTTGCTCGCCTTGGGGTATACGGGAGTCTCTCTGACAGGTAGATGAATGTACCGTGCGAGGTCGAGACGATTGTAACCGTGGCGAAGAAGAGGCGAGTGCAGTCTATACGCGAGAGCCATTGCGGCCTCTTTGAGGAAGGGTCCAGGGCTTGGCGCAAATAATCTGGATACGAAAGTCAGTAAAAGGTATAATGAGGTATAGAATTCATGCAAGCGTACCTCTCCTTCGCTGTAAGCCCAAAAGTAAACAACCAACCCAACAATGTAGTAGAGAGCAGAGTTGGTGCCCTGGTAGATAAGGGCGGCGGCGAGGGTGGTGAGAGGGAGGATGATGAGGCGGAACTCGAGACTGCGGTGGATTGCCGAGCCGGCGATGAATCCCAAAGGCCACTCCAGGGCCACCATGAACAGCGCCATGAGGAGATTGATAATTTGTAACACCGGCACGGGCTTGACAGCTGGGTCCAGCGTTTTGGTCAAGAAGTCCCAGAAGATCTTGGGCCAGAAGAAGCCCTCGAGAGCAGCGGCAAACTGGTCTGTTCGCAAAAGGTTAGTATTGAAGGTGCTTTGGCCCTCATGAGAGAGGTTCAACTTACAAGCTGCCGCGCTCATAACGATGAGCCGAGCCCAATGGTTCTTAATAAGACGACCCATCTTTTTCGATTAAATAATGTTGTTGTTGACTTTTCGTGGAGCCTTCTTTTCCTCTCTCTTTGTGATTGCTCAGTTGTATTGTGAAATCTTTGATCCCTCTTTTTGCCTGTTGCGTTGGTGACCTGTATTGCGACCCTGCTGTGTCCGTCCTCTTTTCCCAAATAAACCCGTTGAACCAGTGAATGAAAGGAACGAAGGAAGCGGTCGTCGAGATCGGAGCCCTCTCGTGGAATAAAACGGGTAGTGGTGTAAAAGGCGACTAGGTCGAAAGGCAAACCGTGCAACGGCGAAAGGAAAGGAATAGGTACCGGACCTGCGGGTTGAAGAAAGAAGTGAAGGCGTTCGAACCGAAGAGTGTCGATATTAAAAGAAGGATATCGACAGGCAAGTGCGCAGCGCTGGCGAGGAAAGAAGAGAAGGTCAAGAGGAAGGACCAGAAGTGTCAACCGATCAATGAGGCGGGGGAGGACGACAGATCTATATTGAGACGAGAGAGTCGGGATGGATGAGACGACTTGGACTGAAGGTGGCAGACCCAGACCAGGGTGTGCGGATGCTGGTGTGTGCCTGGCTGTGTGAGAGGTGGAGGACGATGTGGGCTTGGTCCAGCCCAGTGGGCAAGACGCCGAGCCGCACAGAAAGGCAGGTTGAGGCTTGTATCAGAATGGGCCCCGGGCTAGCTTGCTGGGCAGGGTATCAGTGTCGGGTGTTTCTGGCTCGATGCTGGAGCGAGTTCTCTAGAGAGCCAGGTACGGGCAATCTGATCTATGATGACAGCGGGCATCCGAGCGGCATTGAGACGTTTCTTGTTGCGCGAGGGGTCTTGGTTCTGCTATAGACCAGCCAGCAGAACTAAGAGGCGAAGCCAGGGGTCAGGTTGGCGTTGACGATGATGTTGGTGGTGGTGTTGGTGGAGGTAGTGGTGGTCAGTGTTGCAGAAAATGTGGACAGTGGTGACGGCGTGATGTGTGATGTTCGTGGACCAGGATATCGTAGGATCTGAAGGCTAAAGCTCTTTGCGTTGAGGCTCTGTGGGATATATTCTCCTAGTGCCGGGAGACCGTGGTGAGGTACGGGGTATGAGGCAGTAGTCGGGATGGTGAAGCGTTGTGGTGGAGTCTTTGCTACGTGATGTTCGTCAGGGATCTGTGCTCTATCGCCCCCGTCGCATGAAGGCTGTTTGATGATCAGACAGGACGGCTGTCAGGGACACTGGTGAAGCAAGGAGGTGGAAGAGGGACAGAAACGACGGCTGGTCGCACACGCGAAAGATGGAGGTAGACGAGTTTTAAGAAACACCAGCTTTTGGGAGTCTGGTCGGATAAGAAAACCGGGGTAAGTGATCTGGTCGGCTCATCTAGGCGGGATTGGATGCAAGAAAGAAGTGCAGTGCAGAAAGCGGCGCAGAAAGCGGCATCATACGTCCGTCTGGCATGGCAGCGTTACGGCGCTACCATACCCGCCCGAACCAGCCACGGCCATGGCCGGCCATGGAATCTCAGTCGAGAACCAGTTGAAAGTGGTCACACAGGTATTGGAGAAGGGCGACTAGACACTAAAGGTAGCTCAGCCAGGGCCCCCAGGGAGGTTGAAGCCGTCACTTGACTGCATGATGGGGGATATGCTTGGGTGAAGGATGTAGGCGAGCGGGTACGGATGCAATGTTGCCCGGGATGGGTACGCGAGGCCAGGCGACGGTGAGAGAGTTGAGGGACATTGTTTCCTGCAAGCAATATAGGTAGTGGAGGACGTGGCGAGGCGCGGGGCTAGGCGACTTGAGGATCGGTGTGCGTGAATGGCTCGAACAAGTAATGAGAGAATATCTGTGAGGTATGAACTATGGAAATTTTGGTGTGCAATACTGACCGAGTTGACGAGGTCGGAGGGGCCTGGGAAAGGGTCGAGTGACAGAGGTGGTTAACACATCGACGTGATTGGACCCGTAAGCACAAGTCGTGGGCGGTTAGAGAATGAGCTCGGGCCAATGAGACCCCTTGCCACTTCTCTCCTGGCAGGCGGAGAGTGGAGCGCACCTGCCAAGGGACCAGGGGTGAGACTGGGGCCGTCTGGTGTGCCGTCAGATCATCGCATCCCTCCTCAGTACTTGGGACCAGAAGGAAGGGACGAGATGGCTACCTAAATTCTCGCTTGGAGAGCACCGCGAAATCAGGTATCTTTCCTGTCTTTTCTGCCATCCCAGCTCTGCCCTCGTAGGTATCGCCTCATGAGCCCTCCTCCTGGTCAGCCACCTCACGCACAGAACATGGACAGCAGAGCGCACTTTACCTCAACTCAGCAGAGGGGGGAGCATTTGCCTTACCTACCTACACTGCAGCAGGCTATCTGCCGTTGTAGCAGCGAGCAATTGCCCTGTAAGACCCCAGCCTCCAGCAAACTCATGTGCCACTTTGGGAGGAGACGTCGATGATTTACGGGCCAGCGGTCGATTTAATTAATCTAGCTTCAGCCATTTCAGCAAATGAGAATGCAGAGAAATCTACGATAGGCAAGTCGAGCGGGAGGATAAACAGGCCAAAAGAAACAATACCCGCCATTGCCTGTTTCCGAGCTGTTCTTGCCTTATGTCTTGGTAGTGGTACAGCAGCAGGAAGGTGAGCATCTAAGAAAAGCATCGCGGTCCGAATGATCGTGGTCTCTTCCTTCCTGGTCGGGCTTGTCAGGTTCTTACACGGGCAGAGTAAAGAACCTGATGTGCTTAGGTAAGAGGTAAAGGGTACGTCTCTCTACACCCTCTTCGCTTCGTCCGCCCTCGCCTGTCGCACAAACTCTTTTGATCTTCCAGATGGCGTCGAAAGCGTAACGGAGATCGCGCACCCACTCGACTCGACGAGACGAGACGACACAGCCCAGGCCACCCCGAACTTCAGACCACAAGAAGATTTTTCCCATTGCGCCAACTGCCCATTCCATCTAGAGATTCCCAGCTCCCACGCTGAGTTCATGCCATCTGATCCTCTGCAAAACTCTGAGACGGCTGATCAAAACCGCCTCAGACACACGCAAGTTCCAGAATGGCTGTGCTGAGGCACAGCTGGTTTGAGAAGATGGGACGGCTGCTCGTTGCCCGGTCGCAGTCACCGTCTCGTCCGACACCCAACCCTGTCCTCCACAACCACCCCTGTCCACCTTTGGACCGCAACGCAACCATGGACAACAGACCCCGGTCCCGTTGCCCCTCAAGAAAGTCCCTTTCTGGCTGGAGGTTGGCAAAAGCTGGGCATGCCACATGGGAAATATTGACAAGGATCGGACTTTTCTTTTTTTTTCTCTCTTGTCTCCCCCTGCTCGTCTGCACTGGGGGTCCGTCGCATACTCCACAGCGGGCACGCTCTTCACCGTTGTCCAAAGTTCCAAACCCACGATGACGGTGACTAGTGTACGGCACAGCAGCTGATGGAGAATCATCAATCGACAATCCGACGACTGCAGCTTCCATGACTTCTTTCGCCGACCGACCGACATGCCATATGGTATACATGATTCCAGAGCCCCGCTGCCATTTTCAGAAGGACTGATTGCTACACCGAGCGAAGCCTTGATCGGGCTGCAAATTGACGGCGCGGAAGACGACCAAGGAAAGACGGTGGTGTTGTCTTTTCCAGCAAACCTTCAAATCGCATGAACGCCTGCCTCCTCAACGCCTCCCGTCTCACGGAGCAGGCCCCTGCTCAGTCGAGTCGACGTCTTCTTGACCCGATCAACAGACGACTCGAAGCCTTGAGGATGAACGCTGCACTCCAGACCGAGAACAGACCACACTAGGGACTGTGACGTTGCCATCAGAAGCTGTCAAGCAACCCCTGTCGATAGAACCTTAAAGCCGTGAAGGAGAAGGGCACAAGCTTGCGGTCTGGGAGGCGGCTTTGCTCCCGCTACCAATGATGCTCAAGTCTGGGCGTCTTGCTGGCTTACCCCGTCATCGGTGCAACAAGACCGAGCGTCTCTGACTCTTCAGATGATTCTTTTGGGATGTAAAGCCGTTGTTCTCAAAGCGCCGAGATAAAGCTGGCACGTTGGCTGGCATCGTCAGCTTTCTGCGGCAAGTGTCCGAGGGTCGATGGTGACAGCTCCGATCGACCGCTCGAGACACTAAAGCTTTGGCATGGAGGGCTCTTGGGGCCATTTTGCAAGCGGCTCTCCTTCCCCTCACCTTAGCCATTCGCAGTTGCAGTGCGTGCAGCGTGCCACGGTATCAGCCTCTCGCCGCCAGTCCTGCACCAGAGGAATCCTCGGTATCAACGGTCTTGGCGTGGGCAACGAATCCTTTTGTGTGTCACCTACGTCTCTAGAGACGCATGCGCGGACGTGGTTTTGGGTCGAGCACGGTGGACTGCATGCTGCGTGCTCTCCGATAATAGCAACTTGCTATTATACTCTTTACTTCCCTGATTCAGCGTCGTAACTGCTGGGTTTTGACGATTCGATAGTTTAATTCTATAGCTAAGAGAACCCCGGCAGGATGGCGAGGAAAAGTGCTCATATCGAGGTCGCTTCGGCAGACAAGTGGCTGGCCTGCAGGGTCTTATTTGAGTCTTGGTCAACGTCGAATGTGCAAATGTGCAATCTCTCTCACCGATGCGAGTTGCAGCACATCCCGCTCATCCGCTCCGCTGCATCAAATGCAGTTCTGTCCGATCAAGACTAAAAATAAAAGTATTACCGAGGACAGAGGAGGGGAGAAACCCGCCGCTAACAATGAGGTGTGTTCAACTCTATTTAAGAGGGCGGTTCAGCGCCGCGGCTCATTGGCTCCCCTCGCAGGAACCCACATGGGCCCGACCCACCATCTGTAACGGCCTGACCAACCAGCAGAGCTGTTGCTTCCGATTGTAGGAGGAGTCGTCACTTGTGCTACTGCAACCGCCGGGCATCAATCACAGCATTATTGATTTCGCTTCACACTCTCACGACTGGATGCCGGAGGCTGGATCGTTGATTTGAACAATTGAACCCTACAAAGGCGGTCAATTGGCTCAATTCGACAATCCCACTTTACATGCACACATAGCTCACCGATATCCGAGCCAGAAATAGATACTCCATGAGCAGATTGTCCTGGCAGCATGGCACCACGGCAATGGCTGGCGAGATCTGTTCATGCCATGCAACCTAACGCCAGTTCCCCGCGCCGGATCAACTCGACCGAGGGCTGCTTACACCGAAGTTGGCAGGCAAGATTCTACGCGTAGTCTAATTCTTGAATGCGAGAACGAAGCAAAGAGATGCCCCTCCGTCAGCTCGCACATTGTCTGTCTCTTATTATTCTTAGCAATACTGATAAGCCAAAGCTTGTGCTCATCACGCGTGCAGAGTTCAACAAACAGATAAGCATATCTCTCCAGTATCCGATCCGAGCTAAGCGTCTTTTTCGACAAGCTTTGGAGCAATATCACGGCCAGTATAGCGCAATACGGGTGTAATAACGGCTACAATATGGCTGCAATACGGAAGCAATAGGGGATTGCCCGCCCCATCGCCCTTGGTCCGGACCACTTCAGGGCTCCCCTGCCGGCCCATCCGGTCACAAACCGACGACTGCTTTTGCTTCTTGCATGTGGTTTTGGTTGTGGTGGTGATGGTCTCTGCACAGTCTGCAGGGCACGAGTCGGTCATCGGGTGATGAGTGCCGTGCTGAAGTCATCATAACGTGTGTTCTTGTGTCAGTCCGCCCACCACAGCGTCCCTCCAAAGTCTACCCCCATTCCTCAGGGTACCAGACCCTTGGAGGAACGGGGTAACTCCCCATCGACGTCTCTGCAATTCTGTACACAATATTGCAGCAAAAGACAGAGCGCAAGACAAGTGAGAGAGAGAGAGATAGGTGGGGCCTAAAATACTTCTAGAGCCTTTTTTTTTCTCTTCTCCAACAGCGTCAAAAGTGATGCGAGATCGACGACGCTCCCAAGAAGGCAGAACAATCAATAAACAACCGAAAAAAGAAAATGAAACAACTAGACTCACAGTCCTCACGAGTCGAGAGTAGAGAATATCTGAAAGAAATAATAAGTGCGTGCTTCAACACGAGAAGTGCACATCAATCAAGAGCCAAGACCGGATAGGCTTCATGATGCAACTCCCCTCTCTCGACGTTTGACAGCCCCCGATCGATCGCCTCTCTGATCAAACATCGCGCTCCGCTAGAGCCTAGAATGCTAGATTCATCTCCTCTGACTCTCAGCTCTCTAGTCCTCTGATATTCGTTGGATGAAATGATAAGAAGAAAAAAATCGACAAGGGCCCCCATAATGGGTTTCCCTGATCAGCACGGCTATTCAGCACAGCCGGGAAAGGAGGGGGAACTTGGAAGGGGAAGACCCAAGCACACACCACGACATCAAATGCTTCACAATTCCCTTCCCTTGCCTTGCCATGCACACCCATTCACTGGTCCTGGATCCATCACACGCAACATGCCACGCACCTAGAACAAACACATCATCCGTCTTAGCCGTCCATAGAAAACCAAGAAAAGCGCAGAGCCCCTCCGCTCGTTGTTGTCCACGCACGGATCCTAGGAAGGGATAGTAATTTTTTTCCCATCCCGTCTTTTTCTTGGTGAGACGAAGAGGCGTCGGTGGAGTTCCAAACGTCTCTTACCCGCGGTTGTCAACTTGTCAGTGTCAACTGGTCTTTTCTGAAGCATGAACGACTGTCAACTGGCCCGGTCCCCATGTGGGAAAGGTAGCGTTCCCTCCTTCCCATCCTTCCGGGCCTAACACTCTCTCGAGCTGTGTCTTTCCCGTGTGCATTGTTGGTTCGGTGGCTTGTCACAGCCGTCAGAGCCTTGTCTTTGGTCCAAGCCGCCTCTCACCACAGGTTGAGCGGTTATGACATCCATGATCCAGATCCATCGTCTCTTGACGCTCAACTACCGGCCCCCCTTTGCTTTGTTGACTCGTCTCATGTCTACCCTTGGTGATGCACACGGAACACAGCCTCCCCGAGTCCCCTTTCTCCAGTCACCATTTCCCCCTTATCACGATCTTTACCAAGCTGAGCCCCAAAAGAAGTGCCCCAGGGTACTGGTATTCCTCATATCTAGAGTAGTATACACACGTCAAGTGACACCAGACACCGGATATCGATCTGCCATCCGAAGAGCGAAGAAAGCCCACCGTCGCACCATGATCATCTCGTATCCACCCGTCAACGGCATCAGGAAAGTCTAAAACGGCCAACCCTGCTTTCTGAACCCCCAATTCCTCTCCCTGCCCCCCGAGCTCACGGCCAACACTCAAGTGAGAGCCAGCCTCTCCAGCGCGAGGAACCCTAGAATGGCCTTGCCGTCCTTCGGGCCCAATACATCCAAGATTCGCGTCTTGCCCTCCTCTGTGTCGGCGAGGGCGGCAATCTCGCGCGGGTACTGGCCTAATTCGCTGAGGAGGTTGGCGCCGTGTTCCGAGAGGGGTTCATTGTCGCCGGCCATGTACAGGAGTAGGTCGGCAGAAGTGGGTTGAGCGGGAGAGAGGGACGAGGAAGAGTGAATGGCGGGCTGCATTGCGGCGAGCATCTCTCGGAAGCCTGCGAGCATGGAAGGGAGCTCCGTGTATGACGTTAGAGGTAGTGCAAGTAGGGGCGGATCAAGCTTCTCCAGGAGGCTTTGATGCGGAATTGTTGTTAGCTTTTTCCCGCAATACTGCAAAGGATGCCATAATGAACAGGTGCTGTCACACCTGTTCATGCGTGTGCGTCGGATAACAGTTTGCTCCGACCTAAAACTTACTCAATCTTGAACTCCATGAAAGCCTGTGTCGCATCAACTTGCTCGGTGCCTTCACTGATGAGGAAGATGATGGCAATGTTGCAGCCTCCGTCGAGGCTATCGAGGCGCTCTAGGCGCTGCGCGGTGGCTGGTTGGCCAACGTTCTTTGGCGAGAGGAGGATGATGCGGTAGACCTGGTCTTGGGAGATGGGGAAGGCGATGTCGTGTGTGTCCAGTCTGCGTTCTTCTTGTTCAAGTTTCCTGTTAGTGAATGAAAGCGTGGAAAGAAAAGGAAAGGCATGACATCCATCTTGACTCTCCTTGCATTTTTGCGTACCTTGGAAGGGTTGTGTGTTGCTTATTAGGAGAGGGATCACGGGTGCCCATTCAGGACGCTGGCGGAGGGAGGAACAGAAGAACATGGTGCAGTTGTAGACCTTCTGTGTGTAAAATAGTTTGGACTGTCATTTAAATGTTTTTGGAACGTTACTCGGCGTCTTTCTATGTGAGGTGAGTCAAGTCTGTGATTCAGACATGGCAAGAGCTACCTGACTACTCTTGCCAACTTTTTCTTCTATCCTTTTCCGAGAGTGAGGTGGTCCTTCTAAACTCCTCGCTAGTTTGAGCTACACCTGCCCGTGTAATATTGGTACAGCACAGGGACAAATGTCGCCGGCTAGATGGTATCATGGTGAAATTGTACAAAAGCCTCGCTCCTCCACGTCTCCTGTCTTCTTCTCGCTGCTCAACGAGACACAAACTCCTACACCGCCGACGCAGTTGGCGTCTGCGTCTCCTGCGTCTCAGTCGACGCCGGCAACAATTGCAGACTCGGCAAAAGAGGCTTCTTGGTCTTGGGATCTCTCAGCTCCTTGAGGGCGGCCTCAAGTGCCTGATACCTCTTGGTCCGCTGCTCTTCCTTTTGCGAGAGCGCTTCCTCGCGGCGTGTGAGCTCCTCAAGTTTGGCGTCGAGAGCCTTTATGCGCTCCGCGTTCTGGTCAGGTTTTTGGGATGCCTTCCAGTACTCGTACAGGATGATGGCGCTCGCGACACCGAGGATAAAGGTATCGCCGATAACGTCGGCGAAGAGGTCAACGGCCTTGGCCTCGGGGAGGGAGCGGAACTTTCGTCGCCAGACACTCTTGAATCTGGGGCGTTCTTTTGTCGAGCTAGTGCCACTGCTACTACCGGTGCTGCTGCTGCTGGTACTGCTGGTGCCGGAGGCAGAGGAGGATGACGAGGTTGGAGTCGCGGAGGCTGATATAGAGTCTGAGGCTTTGGAATTTGCAAGAGCAGCATTCTCAGCTGCGAGCTTGGCCTTCAGCGCTTTGGCTTCCTCCTTTTCGACCTGTTCTTTCGTCTTGACGGTCGCCGCCTCGGCCTTTTCTTTTGCGCGTTGTTCGGCATCTGGATTGCGTAAAAGGGCTACCGATAGGCGCATATTGAGCTGGTGTATGTGTTGGCCATAGCGTGCGGCGAAGGCGCGGAACTTGGGGTGATCATGTGCTTGAGCTTTGATTTGGTTCTGTTCGCGATGTCAAGATTAGCTTCAGCTACAGTGTTTGGGAGCACCAAGTAGAGGGTAGGAGACTTCCAACTTACGGCACCATATTTGGAAATGTGCCGCACGAAGAGTGCAGCGAGCTTGAAGAGAGGTAATGGCACCATGGTGGGGTTATGGTCGAGGGTCGAATGAGTGACGGAAGGGTTGGACGGGAGGGAGCTCCGAGAGCTCCGTACAACTATGCTTGGCCTCGTCTTGGCGGTCTGTTTTTCCAGTCAATTGAAGCATTCAATGGACAATTGAAGGCGAAAAAAGATGCAAGAGCTATTGAAGATGTTGGATGATTCCAAATATCAACACGCTTGGTGATCCGAGTTTATCGGAGTAATTCTAGGCAGCTGACGTTGATGTTCGATATTTGGAGGCTGCTGGAGGGGCGTCCCGGGGGAATAAGTCGGAGGGCGCTGATTTGATATTCCGCTTGTTTCCACCTTCGGAGCCGACAGGTCTATTTGACCCCGGCCAACTGGAGTGTTAGTCCCCAGCTTTTGAGTCTGAGCAGGGCTGTCTGGAAGCCTGTTCATATAGCCAAGCTGGGGTTGAAACAGTAGCTTACTCTTGAGTGATGAGAAATAAAGTCACGAAAATTGAGCGATATAGACGAAGACATTTGGAACATGTACTAGGTGGCAAGCATGTCGAGGTCGCAAATGGAAGATAACATGTTCTGTGGTGATGGTCCAATGCTGCTTACCTAAGGCATTTGTTCAGCTTGATTGAGGTGCCAAAAAAGAGGTTCGTTGTGGAGTAACATGGGCCAGTCTTAGTTGTTCCCCACAGCGCTTTCAGTTCGTAGTTCCCCAGGCAACGGCGCGAAGCGAAGGTCAACAGCGCCGGTACACACCAACCTGGTCCATCACTCCACCTCCTACCAAAAGTTTACCGTTCGTCTCAACGGCACATCATCCCGACAACTCTCGACATTCAGAGGTGGTAAGTATTCTGCGACGTTCTCGTCTCGTCAGCAGTCGTGAGTTCACCGTCGGCTCTTGTATTGCTTGCGAGCTTCGTTTTTTTACGCATCTGCATTTGCTGCACATCTCTTTGCGAGACTGGTACGTAAACAACCCTCATCCGTGTTATTCTTGCTTGCCCTGCCCGCTCGGTTGCGGTTGTGGTCATTTGCGCTTGATGATGCGTATGACGGCACATAGACTGCACTCCGTTCTTTCTTTTCAAGTCTTCGCTATAGCACACTTTGCTATAACTCCTTCCATTTTGCTCAGTCCTTCATTTGTGCTGACAAAATCTCGTAACAGGCCCTTCCTCTCCATCACCCTGGGCCGACCTTGAATTCGTATTCCAGCGCCCGTCGCTTTTGAGAGCCACACTCCTCTCAAACCTGCATCGATTACCAGAAAGCCCGAGGCCACAGTCATGGCCCATAGACTAGTGGCGAAAGGGGGCCTCGATTTGGAGGCATTGTCGCCTAGGGACGCCAACGCTCAGCGTATGCCCAAGGCCATTGAAATGAAGACGTCGAAGCCCGTCGCCCAGCTCAAAGCTGCGAAGGACAAGGAGCCACCACCGGTACCACCCGCGAGTATCGACGAGCCTCCGGCCAACGACCGTCCCAATGGAGCCGTCTACCAGGTCGGGAGAATGCTCGGCAAGGGTGGCTTTGCCGTGTGCTACCAAGGATACCTCCTGCCGGAGGGCAAGAAGTACGCGCTGAAAATTGTCCGCAGTCAGATGCCATCCAAGATGATGCAAAAGGTCAGCCCATTGCCGCTTTGTTTTCATTTTCAGGCTCGAGTCTAACGCGCTCTGTAGTTCCAAACCGAACTTCAGATCCACTCGAAGATGAACCAGAAGAACATTGTCCAGTTCTTCAGAGCCTTCTCTTTCCACGACTGCATGTACCTTGTTCTCGAGCTCTGCACCAACGGTTCCCTCATGGACATGGTCAAGAAGCGCAAGGGGCTGACGGAGCCCGAGGTTCGATTTTACTCTGTCCAAGTCGCCGGAGCCATCAAGTACATGCATGGAAAGGGCATCATTCACCGAGATCTGAAGATGGGGAACATCTTTCTCGACCACCGAATGAACGCCAAGGTTGGCGACTTTGGACTGGCTGCTTTGCTCGTTACCGGCCGCGATATGCAGACCATAAGAAGGACAACTCTGTGCGGCACGCCCAATTACATTGCGCCCGAAATTCTCCAGAAGGGAAAGAAGGGCCATGACCACCAGGTTGACATCTGGAGTTTGGGTATCATCATGTCAGTGCTCGTCAATTTGAACATGTTTCTAGGACCTTTACTAACCGAGCCAGGTTTGCCATGTTGACATCCAAGCCGCCCTTTCAGTCGACCAGCACAGAGGAAATCTACCGCCGAGCGAGAGAACGAGACTACGAATGGCCGAACCCGGAGACGACGCAAAAGTACATCAGCGAGGAGGCCAAGGACTGTGTAGCCACTATGCTCGAGGACGCGGATATGAGACCCGATCCAGACATCATCGTTCAACATCCCTTTTTCACTTGTGGCTACTTCCCTGTCGAGGCCGATATTACGACCAGACTTCTCACTCTGCCTCCCGATGGCTCGGAATTCTACACCAACCGCATGAGTGCCCAGTTGCAAGCGGTCACCAAGAAAAACATGGAGGACATGTGCAGAGACTGCGGCGTCGGTCCGTGGACTCCAGTGCAGGTCGTTCACACCCAGACATGGAAGGAAATGGCTGCCGAGGAGAAGTCTGGGTTGACTCCCATGATTCCCCTGGGAGAGGATATCGTCTACAGGCCATTCGATGATTGGCTTCGCGAGAAGCGTCACGCTCGCGCTCTTGCTGCCTCGGCGTCTTCGCGTCCTGATGCAGGTTCAGAGTCCCAGTTGACAACTTCGCAAACAGCGCCGACAGGCCTGCTGCGCCAACCTCCTCAAAGTTTCGCGGCTCAACAAAGAGCACAGAACCGACCTCCGGCAATGGCCAGCTCTACCAGTTCTGCCAGACCCCGACCTATTGCGGAAGCCTCCGCCCAGCCTCTTCATCCTGCAGAGGCACCTCGCCCCAGATCCGTCAGACAGCATAGTGCGCCCGAGTCTCGGACGAACCAGCTGGCGGAAGCCCCGTTGAGGAAGTCAAGTGCGCGAAGAACACCACTGCCGACATCACAGTCGGCAGGCGCTCTACCCGTGCAGGCCATGTCATCCCAAACCATGTCGTCCCAGTCTTCAAACCAAGCCACAGTCACAATGACAGGGCTGTTGGAGAATCTCAAGATCTCTTCCGACCAAAATGAAAGAGCATCGCTGTTCAGCCCAGCTGAACCCGCAGAGCCGGTAGCAGGCTCGAAGCCGGATGTCATTCTTGAGCGACTTCGCAGGCTCCAGACAGAGTTGGAGCGCGCTCTCAACGCTCGAACGATGGCCATTATCTCTTCCAAGGACACCACCCCGCCCCATCCCAACGTTGTCGTGAAGTGGGTTGACTACACAAACAAGTTCGGCCTTGGCTATATCTTGAATGATGGCGGTGTCGGGTGCATTTTAAGAGACATCCCTACGACCGAGGCCAGCAAGACCCTGACGCTGCCTTCGGCTTGCATGCTTGTGCGAGATGCTGAGCGACACATTGAGCGACGTCACGACGAATCGTACCCCGAGAGACATCAACCACTGCCGCCCACGCAAGACATTCACTTCTACGAGAATAACGGTGAGTCAGGTCTCACTCGAGTCTCTGTCTCCTCGAAGCAGTTCCGCGTACCGGTCTACGAAGACGGGACTCCCGGAAAGCTGAACCCCGGGAAGGATGTCTACGAACACAGAAAGCGAGAGCGCGTGATTCTCTGGAAAAAGTTTGCCAACTACATGATTGCCTATGGCAGGGATGAGCTAGTCCCTGCTGAGGAAACTGTAATTCGGCCGACGGAGTTCTCTATCAACAACTCTCAGCCATCTGATCTGGTCACATTCTACCAGCGCTTCGGTGATGTTGGCTGCTGGGTCTTTGGTGATGGCCACCTTCAGGTAAGCTTAGTCCGTACAATAGTACCGTGGCGTGGCTAACAGAGTAACAGTTCAACTTCCCCGATCACACCAAGATCGTTCTGAACGCCGCCGGAACCTGGTGTCACTTCTGGCACCTTCCAATGGATGCGGCGCAGAACCTTGCCACTACTGGCAGCCTGGGCGCTGCCGCTCTTGACGAGAGAGCCATGCTGTCCTACCCCCTACAGACGCTGTTGAACTTCCAGACCAAGCCTTCGGCGGCCCGTTCTAGTCGCACGGCCACGACATCACGCCGGCGCCCGGAGATCCCGACCGAATTGCAGGGAATTCCCGTCGCTAACGATTTCCGTCGCAAGATCGAGTTCATCAAGAACGCAATCAAGGAATGGGTCACAAACGGCGGTCTGGGTAACAGCGCTATGGACCGTGACCACAGACTGCGCTGGGGAGGCCACCGCGAGACCGTCATGGGCAACAGCTTTATCAAGGGTGTCTGGGTAACTGTTGGCGCTCGGTGGGGTGATACTAGACTGTCGGCCTACATTGATCCCGCCAACCCAATGGAAATGGGTGAAGAAATTGACGAATCCAAGAGACGACGCCACTGAAGGACTATGTTCGTTGGCGGCGATGTTGTTTTGTGCACTTTAGGAGCGAGAACGGACTTTGCATTGTTACGTATGTTATGGTTTATTATATTTCAGCCAGCCCGGCCAGCTCGGGTGGCGCTCACGAGATCACGCCATGGTCGCCACGAGGGGAGATGGCATTGTCGGGCATACTTGGAGTTTAAAGGTCTTTACAGACATAGCAACGGCGTCTTGGGAGCATAATATAATGTTACGAGTATATACCAGAACTTGTTCTTTTTTTTTTCTTCTTACAGAGAGGAACGTACTTGAGGCGCTGTTTCTGTCGTTTGTCCCGTCTAGGCATTCCCTTCCTAGGTCGTCTTCGGCTACTATTTGTTACCTTGTGCTATTCGCATAATCACTATCATCGCGGCCTTTTCATACCCTAGACCGGTTGATGCATACTAGTCACGTTCTACATTCGTGGGGGAGGGAGTAGAACAACCCACTGAACACGACCGTTTCCTCCAAGACCACCTTGCTTATTCCAGGTTATCAACGCAGGCATTCATACAAAGTTGGGCAGCTGGTCCAAACATCGAGTTCGCGGAATGACCTTCCTTCACCCTGGTACACCCACCACCGCAAGGCACTTACATCATCTTGACTGCTCTGAGCAAAAAGTCAGGGGAATCAATAACAGCAGTTCGTTATCATCGAAGTGCAAAAGCTCAGCCCCCCTCACGGGGGTCTACAAAAATACGAGACCATTGTTACGTATTATTCCTTAGTTGTAACTGTACCAGTGATTATTCACGAGACTCGAACTCGTGACCCATGGGAGCGGTGCTATTCAAACGAGGACATTCACCGCCACGCCATGGGCGCTGGTTGGTGCCTGTGCGTGATAGTTGCTTTGAATAATACTCATCTTGGTCAGTCATCGACATGAGATAGGTATTGTGATGCCTGACACGATTCGCGAACTCAACTCGGAAACCACACTCGTCAAATCTCAAATACAGACCTATCCGACAATACTTCGTTGCAAGTTTCGCGGAGCGGTGCGGCAT